GGAAAGCTGACGTTTCGGGCCTAGACCCTTCTTCAGAAATGAAGACCTTTCTAGTCCTAGACCTTTCTGAAGAAGGGTTTAGGCCTGAAATGTCAGCTTTCCTGCTCCTCTGATGCTGCTTGGCCTGCTGTGTTCATCCAGCTCTACACCTTGTTATCTCAGATTCTGCAGCGATTCAGCGAATAAATTCTTACTGTTTACACTGAAAGGATATCAAAGCTGTGACAATGCCGTATGCTGACCCCATTGCAAATGAGCCAGCAAAAATCCAAGCAAAGTTCCCAACTGATTTGAAGAAAGCAGCAGCATCAAATGTGTCTGGGTTGTCCTTCGGACTGTATATGGAGATGGAGCTGGTGAAAAGGGAAGAAAGAAGAAATTAAGAAATATTAGCACGGGTCAAACGATCAGACCAGTTTAAAAAGACTTACACATTCACACATTACTAAACGTTAGTGCACAGGTACAGAAATGGTGAATCAAAGTATGTCCTAATCTCACTGGAGTTCAAATGCACAGCTGGAGTGATGCCCGAGCTGACCAGTTGCTATGCAGGACATTAGCAGCAGTGTGTACAGTTTTGGACCTCACAGCTCTGTCAGGTTGTATTATTGACCCTTGGGAGAAACCGTGCAAATTCAGCAGAATTACTTGGCTTAAACTTAACCAAAGAATTCATGAGGGTGTTTTCAATACATTTTTAACTTGCACCACCTTGAGGTTAGAAGGCCAATAAAAACCAGGATCTGATAATCTGTCATAGAGAAATGATTTACTCTGGTGGCTGAATTCAGAATTGGAGGAGGGCCGCTCCAACAACAGTCAAGAAGCTTGACCACAATCCAGAACATTTGCAAGCACCGGCTCTACGAAGGTCTCCTTTCTAATTGAGCATACAGCACATCATTCTCCAGAGCAGTTTTAGAAATTCCTTCACCATTTTCCCGGAACATTCTCCCAATCCATATCTGGGTAATTGAAGCCCCACAATATCCTCAGTCTGCAGTTATCGTGTATCTATAATTCCCTGCAGATTTGTTCCTTTGTTGTCCTCTCACTATTAGGAGACCAAGAGAATAGCCTGAGTAGCATGAAATCCTTCTCTGTTGCTGAAGTCTAACAAAATAGACGCTGGCCTTTCCCTTCAGGGAAATACTCATTGCAACACTATAACGTTTGAGCTATAGGAAGAGGCTGAATAGGCTGGAGCTATTTTCCCTGGAGCGTCGGAGGCTGAAGGGTGACTTTATAGAGGTTTATAAAAGCATAAGGAGCATGGATAGGGTGAATAGACAAGATCTTTTCCTGAGGGTACAGGAGTCCAAAACTAGAGGGCATAGATTTAAGCTAAGAGGGGAAAGATTCAAAAAGGACCTGAGGGGCAACATTTTCATGCAGAGCGTGGTGTGTGTGTAGAATGAAGTGGTGGAGGCTGGTACAATTCCAACATTTAAAAGGCATCTGGATGGGTATATGAATAGGAAGGGTTTAGTGGGATATGGGCCAAATGCTGGCAAATGGGGCTAGATCAATTTACGATATCTGGTCGGCATTTTCCGGTTGGACCAAAGGGTCTGTTTCTGTGCTGTACAGCTCTATGGCTCTGTCGCTCTCATGTCTTCCCTAATCATCACAGCCTACACTTGTTTTTAAAATAATTTTTTGTATCTTTTCCGAACTCTTCATATTGTTGTATATGAAGTGCTGGTTCCCTCAAATGTTTAAGCCATGCTTTCACTATTGCCACGCTTCTTTTTTTCCTGTAGCTCAGCAATCTCTTCAGCACACTTTGTGCATTTATGTAGTCTGGGTTTTGCACTCCTTTTCAGTCTGCTCCTTTTATATATGGACCCTACATCCTTCTCTACGATTGTTCAACATTCCCACTTTATGTAAACTTTTCTTCTTTTCCACTTCCATATTTTGGTGCCTATCTCCTACCTACTGAGTTCAAACTCTCCCCGACCACATAATTAAATTACTTCGTGAGGAACATTTCTCGCAGTCCTGTTATGGTGCAAACATATCCCTTTTGAAAAGGTCCGCTATGTTCCAATGCTCCAGATATCTGATGCCTTCCCTCTTGCATCATGCCTTGAGCCAAGCATGGAGTTTGTCTTCTTATTTCCATGCTGGCGAGCACACGGCACTGGGTATTCCCACGTCTGTTTCTGTACATTCTTTTGCAAACATCAACCCAAGGGGTTTCATTGGATAGGAGAACACTTTCCCACTTTCCATTCAACAAGGTACTCCCTTATCAGGTATACCAAAGGCTACATGCACAATGCTCTGCCCTCTCCATTCCAACATATTCCTTAGCCACTAAGGCTGAAGAGTACCTGTCAAATCACCAGTGGAACTCCACACAAACCATCCTTGTAGACTTCCACCGAACCAAATCCCGATCACTGAAGCCCGGAATAAATCAGAAACATATCTATCACACTCTTCCTTCTATCACTGTCAGATTCCTCATTAAAAATTGCAAATAAACTCCAAGGTCACCTTCAAGTCAGAGAAGGGCAACTATAAATTGCACCAAGTTACCCAGCCCCCTCATTAATATTCCCTTCTCCTCAGAAAATCAGATGGAGATTTTCTGAAAGTAGAACAACAAACATTGAAACAAACACAGAGAATGCTGGAGAAACTCAGCCGTCATCTGTGGAGAGAGAAACAGAGTGAACGTTTCGAGTGCGAAATGACTCTTCTTTAGAGCTGGTTTGGGCTCCTAACCCTAACCCTGGTTTAGCTCTGAAGAATCATCATAATGGACTCAAAAAGTTAACTCTCTCTCTCTCTCTCCACAGATGCTGCCAGACCTCCAGCATTCTCTTTTTTTTTCAGATTTCCAGCATTTGCGTTATTTTGCCTTTAATAAAATTTGAGAACATTTTACCAAGATAGATCATTGCACAGACAGGATTAAGAAAGAACTGGACTTACTTGTGGACAGAATGGAGATTGAGGGACACTTTGAAAATGTACTTAGAAACCCGAAACGTTAGCTTTCCTGCTCCTCTGATGCTGCTTGGCCTGCTGTGTTCATCCAGCTCTGCACCTTGTTGTCTCTTTACTTAGAAAGTTTGATGTGGATTCTAACGATATAAGCATCTTTAGCCAAAGGGCTAATTTCTTACTCCCTAAAGCTTTACATTTGTAAACATGTTCTGATTTACATTTGACAACAGACTTGACTTGAAGTTGCATATAAACACAAACTACTGTCAGAGAATTATTAATGTGCCACCTCCTTTCCATTTGCAATAGAGCCACTGGGCAGTTACATCCCTAAATAGTTACAATGCAGAATATTAGTGCAATCCTGAAAACATTTACAGATAATGATTCAGCATAATGGTTGGCTATGGCCAAGTCTATCATCACTAGACCGTTGGTCCAGAGAACCAGATAAAGTTCTGTGGATCCCAAGTTCATACCGTACCATTACAGATGGTGGAAATTGAAAGAACCTGAAATCAAAAGTCTAATGATGACCATGGAGCCATTGACAGGAATAACCCATCTGTTTGACTTAATTCAGAAAATATTCCTCAACTGAAGGAAATTGCAGTCCTTACCTGATCTAATCTACACGTGACTCCAGACCCATAGCAACGTGGTTGACTCTTAACTATCATCTCGGCAATAAATGCTGGTCCCGGTTGAATGAATAAAAATCTCAAGATAAATATCAGGTTCCTTGCAACTGCTCAAGATAATATTTTGTTAAAAACACTACTCCATTACATCTGCAATCTGTGGACACTGGTCAGAAAGCCTGTAAGGCTCTGGATAATTTATAAACCCATATGTCTTTTGGATTTAAGTGCTCACAAGTCACCACTATCCCATTCATTAAAAGAGCTAATTTTCATCAAGTTTTATAGTTTACACATTGACTTCACTGGCAGGAGAGGTTTACAAGAGGAAAGAGCAACATGTAATATTTTATGATTCAAGTCTCCAGCAAATGACAGAGGAAATTAATCAAACTTTCATCACAGCAGCTGGGGAGGCTCTGGAAACATCCAGAATTGGAAAATGAGGTCCTGGTTTTAAACTCATCAATCAGGTGGGAGGTTGTGTGAACAGGTTTGAGCTCAACGCCAGTTTTACACCCTGCCTAATTAGATCATACAATCCCTACAGTGTGGAAAAAGGCCATTTGGTCCATCAGGTCCACACTGACCCTCTGAAGAGCATCCCACCCAGTTGCTCCTCCCTATTCTATCCCTATAACCCTGCATTTCCCTTGGCTAACCCACCTGGCCTACACATCCCTGGACACTTCCCCTTGGCTAATCGACCCTAACCTGTACATCTTTGGACTGTGGGAGGAAACCAGAGGACCTGGAGAAAATCCACGCAGACACGGGGAGAATGTGCAAACTTCACACAGAGAGTTGCCTGATGCTGGAATCGAACCCAGGTTGCTGACGCTGTGAGGTAGCGCTGCTAACCACTGAGCCACCGAGCCACCCCAAAGCAAACATCACAAGCTTGAAGTTGCCCAGCCACTTCGAGCTGACCACCTGGGATACATCACTAAGGAGTCTTGTAGCAGTGGGAATCAAATGCACAACTTGATAGAGATTGGAGCTTCAACTCCAGTGCCTTAGACCCCTCGGCTGTGCAATATTCCATGGGTATGCACCCTGAAGCCCCCCCTACTCTTGACAGGTTAAAATCAGGTTGCTGGGAGCAACAAGAAACTTTATTTCAAACTTTGCATCAATGATATATCAAACCAAGTAGACAAGGACAAGCATCCATCAGCTCCAGTTCCAAACCTGCATTGGTCAGATCCAGCCAATTATCTTTCCCCCTTCAAAGGTTTGGTTGACAGTGGGACATAATGGATCATTAATTTGAAAAATTACATCATTCAATTTCATGAACATAAATCCCAACTTTCATTTCATGAAGCTTCACAGTAAATTAAGATCAATAACAGAGACAGGGTGTGCGTAATTTTGACTTTGAGATAATAAATCAGGTGACATTTCCCAATTTTCATTTGCATTAGAGTCCAGCTCAAAAAATACAGCCAGAGTGAAGTGGAATGAACAGTCAACTCACTCCCTCTGTACATACTCAAGTAAAATGCACAGTCACCAAAGTCAGGGAATGCAACTGAAAACTTATTGGGAATTCCTAAACTCAGGATAAATAGTCTGATAGCCAGCTCGTTGAGTGCACAGAAAAGTTGCTCATAATCTGACTCTAGTACACAAGTTGGAACCCTGAATTGCAATAGAACAAACTTTTTAACAATTCAATCACAGTTTGTGGACATCACTGTCCGGGCTAGCGTTTATTGCCCATCTCTAATTACTTTGAATATGGT